CATATGAACTGTAGCTTGCTTATGTTTGAGTAACTAATGACTTGCATAGCAAGCCAGATCATTAAATTAACTGCAATCCATCAATGTAGTGCAGAGCAACCTATCAATGCAGATTTCTTAATCTGATCCATTTTCAACATGTATGCATGCAGTGAATATTTTTTTTTTTTCAGTTGGCCTGGACCAACTTTGAGAACTTGCTCCTGCTGTTGATTCAGCAAACATTACTGACAACTAGTGAACTACAACAGAGCTGCTTAAACATTCTGGCAGAAACTCAGGTAGTTGAATTGCACCATATTTATTATGACATAAGAAAGTAGTGTTTGCATGTATTAAATGGGAAAGGAAATGTTTAATGCAATGTTTGATAATGTATTTTTTTTAAATTTGTTTATTTTGCAATTTGTAATGCAAGTTTTGAGAAAAATGGAGGCAGCTATGCACCTGTAGTTTACTTTTTGGGAGCCTGGCAATTGAAAATACACAAATATTTGATAATTGAAATAAACAGATACATGCAAATGATATGAAGACTGACTCTTCAGGCTTGGCTTTAAAGTAAGTATGTAAATTGCTCCTCCAGCTCACTTTCAATTGCAGATATTATCTAAAGCCAGGAAAGACTGGTACAGTTACATCGTTACTGTTAGCTTTCAAATTACCTGAAGATTATGAATTACCTGTTACAACTTCATAAGCTCTGCTCACAAACAAAATTCTGAGTCCTAGTATAACATAAGAATCAATTTTCTGATGTCTGAATAGTTTTTTCTTAAAATTATCTCAAGTAAATAATAATAGTCTTTCATAGCTATCATTTTCTATGAGAGGGACTGTCGTCAACAATCTGACCTTTGTACATGGAAAGATCTTGTCAAAGAATTTTCATCTTATGTTTTGTTCTTTGAGCATTATTGGAGGGAAATTTTCCTCTTTGCATGGGAACTTATCTCATTCATGTGTTTACCATGTACTTTTCTAGGACAGCATTGAAAACCTGGCAGTGTGTTTGTGCCACATAATGGAAAAACTTGACCTTGATCCAGAGTTTACAGAGGAATGTGAATTAGGCGATATTCTGGAGTGGATCTACCAGATTTGTGGGGCGGAGGCTCCAGTGTCAAAGTATATATTGCAGACTCTGAAATTGGATATACCACCAGGACAAGTGATAGTTGAGCCATCTTCTGAGCAAGTTCAAACATTTTCTACTGTACAATGTAATCAGTGTCAAAAGGATAAAGATAGTGAGTCTGAATCCAAGACTGTGCACTCTGTTCAACAAAACAAAGGTGTACTTGATGGTGATTCAATAAACAAGTGTTCACAGAATCATTTTGAACAGATGGACAGAGTTCATGTGAATTTAGAAAGCATGGCTATATCTGTTAAGGATCATAAAATATCAGTTCATGATTAAGTGAACTATATAAGAATTGATTCCTGTTTAATGTCTTTCAATACAAGTGGAAAAACTAGTCCATTTCACAGTGGAAAAAAAGTGAGATACATGTATATGTACTTCTCTATGAAATTTCCATTTACAAGCTAAAAGTTGACATATTTAAGTGACAAGATTATTAATGAACTAGTGAATTTTCATTATTTTTCCATATCCATATGTGTTTGATAAAAGTTTAATAAAAAGAATAATTATGAAAATAAAAGTACATGTACTCTATTATTTTGGAGTTTGTGTTGTATGTAGTATAGGCATGCAAGATTTGGTTAAGGCTATACACATTAAAATGGAAAAGTGCGATGAGAGTGTGTGATCCAGGTGGTCACGTGACATGCTCCGTAATATTCTGTTCACAGAAGTTTTCTCAAAGTCATATTTCTTCCCATGCAAGTTATTTTTTATAACAAGAACAGTCCATTTGTCCCAAATGGCCAAATCTCGGCAATAGGATGAGTGGACAATGGTATCTTTTCCCAGAATGAGCATGGTCACCATCACAACCCTACTCCTTTGTCTTGGGTGCATCATTTATCCATTGTGGATAAAGTATGGGTGCCTTCTTATTTTTATCATATCTGATATGTTTAAAGTCTTAAGTTAACTATATTTTAGGGGTTTAATAACTTTATTATTGTTAAGATTCTGTCTGTAGCAATCTTTCATAAGAAATTGCTCAACAGTACACAGCTCTTCCCCAGCTTACTTTCACTGGGCACCAGAACAAACATCATTTTTAACGATCTCCCTTCATTCACTAAATCAATCAATCCAATTAATGACTGAACTTCTGGCAAGTCTTTTGTCTTCATAAACCTTATACAAATTATTATGCTACTGCAAAGGAATTTCCAAGATATACGTTCAACTTTAAAGCCATTTGTTGCTCGAGTACAACTGAGTCAACCATTTTTTGTCACAAGTCATCTACATACTGAGGTCATTTTCACATTGTGACATCACAAATGCATTATGTAATTCTATTTATAGAACATTTATTACTATGTGTGGCAAATTTCATTTTGATCTGAATTTTGGTTTTGTAAATAAAAATAGAGACGGTGGACTTCTTGATCACCCCTTGTACATGATTATATAAAGTAGAACATTTGCACAAAAGCAATGTCTTGGTGCCATGAATCAAAACTTAAGCAACAATACATTACTGTCGTCATGAATTTGACTTGTATTTTCCAGTATTCTGTTTAAATAACTTGATTTTTAAAGATGCTTTGTTTAGTCAATCCACGTTTTTCTTCTTTGATAATAATTGTTGACTTCATATTTTGAAACAAAATTAATTATGAATGTTTATTATATACACTGTCGACCAGATGACAGGTGTACATATGTATTATCAAACTGTTGGTGGTACTCTTTTTTGTTCAAATATATAACCCATTTTTTTTTTTTTTTGGAAGTTCTGTAAGAACAGCTCTAGTTTAAAAATCTTGATGAATCTAATGGAGAAACATAGTCCTATATATAAAAAAACATTTTATTAGAACAGATTACAATTAAAAAAAAAATAAGTCATTATTCTGATACATGTGTAAATGACTTCAGGTGTAAATAAAGGTCTTGAAAACAGAAGAAACAGTACAAAATGTTAAACCATATCTATGGTATACAAAAGCATGAAACATTGGTGATTAGAACTGGACAGGTTTAAAATTGAATGCAAAGAGGCAGTAACATGAATCATAACATTATGTAAAACAACAGATATAAAAATAAATAAATCACTTAAAAAAATACTTGCAAGGTATACACATCAAGGGCATATATCTCTACTTCCTCAATATAAAAACATAAAAAGGGAGGGCATTTAGTGTATATACCATACAACATTATGCACACACACACAAATAAACTATGAGGCAAAGTTTAAGTTTTGCTGAGGTATATTTTGGTATCACAAAATGATTTGGGCCATTCCAAGTTTTTCCTCTGTTTAGCATCCACCCATCTATCAAAAACCTTCCTTATACCTATTTGCAAAAAACACACAAACCAAAAAAAAAAAAAAAAATAAAACACAGACTTTATAGTGAAAAAAATTACTTCATTAAAGGATTTAACTTCATTCATTTATTTTTCTTGTAGAAAGATCTTATGGCTATTCTTTCCCCAAATCAAGGTACTAAATGCTTAAAATATCCTTTATATGACAAATTATAGACAGATGTTTAGAGAAATTGACAGAATTAAAAAAATTTGACCAGAATAATCAACTTCAGGACTCCTGATTTTGTTTGTTTTTCATGATATTGGGTGTCGGAAACCAAGGCGCACACAGACACTTAATATAGGAAAAACTTGGAATGGCCTTGTCTGATATAAAAAATTTCATATTCTGATGTCAGAAAATCATTTTTGATTTCAATTTCTGATATCAAAAAATATATCGAAAATTTATTTGATTTTTTTTTTAAATTCAATATTAGAAACACAATAAACATATTTGCTCAGGTTCATCAAAATAACGAGACTCGATCCCCTTAACTAATCCACAGTTTTCAGGTTTTCATCGTTCAGTATTTATAATGAACGATGTTAACATTCTCATAATTTATTTTCAAATTTATACAAGAAATTAAAGTAGGTATTCAAAAGGGGTCCATACTGCATGCAATAAAGTATGAATTTTACTTTAAGTATTTGAAGGAAATTGTGAATTTCCTCACAGGGCTAAAATTTCTTCCCAGAGTCTGAGGATTATTCTTGACTTACTACATGGAATCACTCCATACAGTATTTGTCTATTTTGAATGTGGATGTTTTATTTACTTCTATGCTTTTCACAAAGTTTAAACACAAGAGTTTTAGGCTTTTTATACAACCAAATAATCAAATACTGAATTGAATATATGAGAGGGAACATCCCAGGAAGCATTAATTAAAGTTATCCTATTTATGTTACCAACATTTTCTGATTTCAAAATAATAAAATCTTATGATATCAAAGATTTTCAAGCTTTTATTCTATATTAAAAAAAAATCATTTTCTGTTATCAGAAAATGATTTTTTGATTTCGAAAACTTAGATTATAATTTCTTATTTCAAAAATGTTATTTTTGTTGATACAATTTCCTATTATCAAAATTGAAATTCTTGATGTCAAATATTTTTTTATTTATATTACAGCATATTTTGATAGACTTTTTGGGGGGGGGGGGGGGGGGTTTGCATACCTCAAAAATACTAAAACAGTGCTTAATGAAAACCATGGATTTCTCATAAACATTTACTTAATGAAACAATAATGTAAGGTGCTTATATATATCACAGAATTAAGAGTACATGTACAATGTATACTAATTTTGTTTCAATTTTTTTACCATTGTATAAGTAGAAAAACTACCAGTGAAAAAACTTTTTTCAGGATTTAAGTTTAAAATAATTGGATTTATACAAAATTAAAGTCATACAATGGGAGTCCAAGATCATTGTAAGCAGCAGCAAACAATTCAAGTGAATTCAACATTAATTTTATCAAGCCAACAATTTAAAGAGGAAAAAAACCTAGCTGTTAAATTTCACCAAAAAATTTAATGAAATGGTTCATGTTTGTTGATATCCATAGTATGCTTCTGAGAGTGCCTTATTTTTCTCCACACGTCTCTTGACGTGCTGCATTTTATTGGATGCCCCAGATAATTTGCAGGCAGACTTCATGACATTGGTCTGCAGAACAGCTGTGTCCAGGTCTGAGAAACCACAAGCTGACAAAGAACTTGCCTGTGAAAGAACAAAGAATGCTAAATACAAGCAATATGCATACAAAATTTCTATTAAAAGCAATATTCATTAAAATCAATGACATGATACAAGTTTAAAATACAGCTTTTATATGTCAACACTCAAATAAATGTTTTTTTAATTACATGTGTATCTGTGTCAACATTCAAATAAATGTTTTTTAATTACATGTGTATCTGTATTTCATCATTAAATATAATTTAAGGTATCTGTCTTCATTCAACCATGCAAATTGTTAGCAGAATGTATTAGCCATTTTTAGTTTGTTTTATTAGGTTTTATTCTGTTTTGAGCCAGTTTTCCACCTTACCTGTCTTTCCTTATGAAGCTTATTAACTACTTGTGATAACGATCTGCTCTCCTCAATAAATGCTACTTTGTCTTCCCGCTGTTGTAAATTTTTGGATCCTTTGGAAATCATGCTTCTTGAAGACAATCTATCAATATGAATTAAAGGGACGACTTCAGAAAAACTTTGAAAAAAAACTAGAGATGTGTTTTGTTATTTAACTAAAACATACATTACACCTTTATTGTAAATCAAAGATCAAGGTCATGCAAGAACATCATGATAGCATACATAAAGCATCCTTATATGATGACTAGACGTCTAGATTAAATTTAAAGACAAACAAGCAAATTCAGCGAAGTGTAATCCTAGGCTTTCGGTGTCTTAGTGGTTGGGATGCAATTGTTTATGGCATATTGTAACTGTCTTGTTTGTGTGTCCTGTCTTGTCTGTCCCTCATACAAAGAAGATATAAATTTTTGAACGAATAAAAGATTAAAGCTTCTCAAAACTGTATCAATCATCAAGGTCAAAAATAATAATACAATCTGAAAGATCTTCTCACAAGTAATGCACATGTGAACAAATATGAAAGCCTCATCTCTTCTGGAGCAAAAATTATGGCCAAAGTTAAATTTTTTGATAAGAAGGTCAAGCTTCTAGGTCAAGGTCATAAAGTCAAAAATGATAATTCTTTCTGTGAAGTGTTGTCATAGGTAATGTACAGGTAATATATGAAAGCCCTATCTTTTCTCACTCAAAAAAAAAAGGACTGTAGGTTAAACTTTAAGGTCAAGGTCAAGAGGTCAAAAGCCAAAGTTCATTTGGAAAGGTCTTGAAATAGGTAATGCACATGTCAAATATAAAAGACCTTCACTCATTCAAAAGTTATCAACATTGTTCAATTTTTTGAAAATTAGGTCAAACTTCAAGATCAAAGTCTCAGGGAAAAAAATCATAGTACATGTATGTACATTTAGAAAGGTTTTGTCAAAGGTAATGCACATGTGGCACCCTATCTTCTCTAATTCAAAACTTATCATTAATGTTATAATTTTTGAAAATTATGTTAAAGTTCAAGGATATGAGGTTAAAAATAATAGTACATTTTTCTTGTCACAGGTAATGCAGTTGTAAAACTGTGGATGCCTTATCTTTTTCTCCTTCAACAGTAAGCAGCAATATAATTAATGATACATATTTTTTAAATTAGGTCAAATTTCAAGGTCCTAAGGTCAAAAATCATAGCATGTTCAGAAACATCTTATCACAGGTAATGCACATGTTAAATATGAATGCCCCGTCTTCTCTCATATAAATGTTATAAGCAATCCTATTCTATTCTTGACAAAGAATTCCATACAAAGTCCCTGAGAAGGATCCTAAGAATATCTTGGCCCAATACCATCTCAAATAGGACCTTCTCAACAGGTGTCAGCAAGAGGATATGGCCACAATCATCATCAGAAGACGTTGGAATTGGCTTGGCCATGTACTTAGAAGGGACTCAGACAGCATTATAAAGACAGCTCTCTTCTGGACACCAAAGGGAAAACGGAAGAGAGGAAGGCCCAAAGTCACTTTGCGGCGGACAGTGGAAGCCAGAATAAAAGAACAAAAGAGAAGTTGGGGCACACTCCAAAAGCTAGCCAGTGACAGACATGGATGGAGAAACCTTGTTACTGCCCTATACACCAAAGACATCACGAGCAGCAAGAAAGTAACTGTAAAAGAGATGTTAACTTGAAATTCAAAGAATTGTTGTCCCCTGCTTGTAAGGTCTGATTGCTTGAGGTGCAATGAGGTCTGATTGGTTGAGGTGTAATGATCAATCTATGGCATATTGTAACTGTTCTTGTCTGTCTTGAGGTCATAGTACATTGAGAGGTCTTTTCACAGGTAATGCATATGTGGAAAAAATATGAAAGCCCTATCTTTTCTTATTCATAAATTATGACCAAGTTCAAAGTGTTTTGTGGGACAAGTTTGCTCAGATAATCTTTCTTGTCGAAGAAAACAAGTTACTTGATTCTGAGTGAAACATCAAGATTATGCAGGTCATGATAGATGTATAGTACCACATGACACAACTTATAAAAAGAAATAAAGGAACACAAATGATTATGAAAGAGAACCAGAGGTTTCTGACAAGACTGCAGCTCTACTGGTGTGTACCTATACTAAAGAAAGATGTATCTTAGTATAGTCTTCTTATATGTCAAGTCTAAATGAAATCCAACCAAAACTGTAGCAAGAGTAATGTTTTGAAAGAATTTCACAGACATTTCTATACACAGTAAAACATGGCAACTTCCACTGTTGAAATCAAAAACTGATATATTGAATTATTAATATTGTCTACTTGTGTACTAAGCTCAATTCAAACTTGGATCTATTTTTAGTAACCATGGCACCACCATTTGTTGAAATCAAAAATATCGACTGATGCATCTTTGCATAGTCTACTTGTGTACCAAGTCTGATTGAAGTTTGACCAAAACTGTAGGAGGAGAATTTCAAAGAAATTTCTATTTTTAGTATTCATGGCAAAATCCTTTGTTGAAATCAAAACCTTACATAGAATTATGTATCTTAGTATAGTTTACTTGTATACCAATTCTTATTGAAATTGGGCCAGAACTGTAGTAGGAGTAGAGTTTTGTTTTCGAAAATTTGTTTACAGACAGATGGATAGAAGACAGACCAACAGGTGGACAATGGACACCTAATTAAATGCATAAATTCTTCTGGTCTCTGACCAGTAGAGCTATAAAATGAAAAGTGAATGGAAATCACCACCACCACCTGAATAAGGTGTAATAAAAAAATCAAATTAAAACATTAATTTTTTTTAACTTACAATTTTGAGCGAGCATCTTCAATATCTCCTTTACTGGCCAAGTAAGCAGTCTTCTGGACTACAGCAGTGCCAACCACATTTACATTCATTGCCTATAAAATTTAGTAGTGGATATCTGTTAATTTTATATATATATGAGACTGATATAAAATATTTTTTTAAAAACTGATTTAATTTAAATTATACTTTTAATATCAGTTATTATGATGAAACAAACTATTGGCAAGATAACTCCAAAATCTCTCTGATTTTAAGAGGAAATTAAACATTTCTGTTCAAATGTGATTACTGATAAATGTAAATAATGGAAAGTGTTTGTTCTTGGCTTTATAACAGTTTAAAGTTGTTGTTTAGTTTGATGATTTCAAAAATATTAAGGTCTTCATTGGTGAGATAATAGCTCCTGTCACTTACTTTTCATGTGAAGGCTAATTTTTTAAAGATATTTTTTTATTTATGCCAGATCTAAAAAAAAATTTCAAAACTATGAGTTTACATACTTCCTCCATGGTCTGTCTGTTGTCTGTGGTAGATAGTGCTTTACTAATGGTTCTCAACATGTTTCTGCCATCCTTTAGTGTGTAAGAAATCTGTACCTATAGAAGACAAAAAGAATAAAATGTGCTGTAATTTGTAAATTACTAGATCAAACTTAACAAAGAGTGAATGTAATGAATCTAATACAATGTACAAAGTAAAATTACAACAAAAAACAAAACAAAACCAAATAAAAAAACCCAAAAGCCTGCAAACTTTGTCAAATTAACACCTGTATCAATAACTAGATTACTGTGAGCAAGCTCACAAAATTATACCCCTCACTGCAATTAAAAAATGCCTATATACAATTTTCTAAATGTGACTTTGAACTTGCCAAGATGCCTTGGTTTAAAAAGAGACACCCTCTTGTCAAAAGCAATCGTTGTGTGAAATATGGACATCCAATCTTTTTCATTTGAATTTTACATTTTTATTCTACCAGTGACCTTGAACTTGCCAGAATGATCCTTGATCAAGGTTACAACATACCCTCAACTCCATATAATCTTTTTGGAGTATCAATGAGAGAGTTATGAACTGGGCACATTTTATATGTTTCTGCCAGTAACCTTGAATTTCCCAGAATGACCTTGGGAAGGTCATGTCACACCCTCGGGTCATAAGCAATCTTTGATAAGTATGAACTTCTAATGTTCTGCATTACAAGATATGGTCAGTACATGAATTGAACATTTTGTAAAGGTGACCTTGAACTTGATAAATTGACCCTGGGTCACTCAGGATCATGACATACCTTCAGGTCATAAACAATCTTTGTATGAGGTATTAACTTCCAATGTTTTTCTATGAGGAAGTTGAATCTTAAACTTTTCTGCCAGTGACCTTGAACTTGCCATAATGACCTTGAGTCAAGGTCAAGACACACCTTCAGGTCATGAAGAATCTTTGTATTACAAGTATGAGCTTCCAATTCTTCTCCATTACAAAGTTATGGCCCAGACATGATTGCACAGACAAACAGACAGACAAGGTGATTCCTATCCATCCCCCAAACTAATTTGCGGGGTCATAAATATTGGCTTCAACAATAAGTAGGGATTTATATACTATATTAAGTGGGCATAGAAACATATCCATTGGATACATTCCCAAATGGTATTTGTACTCCAACATTAAAGGAATAATTAAATGTACTTGAATTATTAACTGACCTAGAAATTTTGAAAAATGAAGTTCAAGATCATAAAAAAGGTCAAGGTCAGAACTCTGTTGTGTAGCATTCACAAATATATACCTTAGTATGAAATTTGACTAAAATATCTTGAAAAATACAGTTAAAGGTCGTAGGAAAAGTCAAGGTCAGAAAATTACACATACAGTATGACACAGTTGAATAGCTTTCCTAAATTTGTATTATCAAGGTATGAAGTTTGATGAAAATAACCTGGAACAGTTTCTTTGAAACTAAGGTAATTGCAAAATAAGGAATAATGACATCAAGGTCGAAGGAAAAGTCAATGTTAGAACATTATGACAGTTGAATAGCTTTCACCAGAATGTATCAGTGTACGAATTATGATAAAAATATTTTGACCAGATTCTTTTAACCTGAGCAAAACACAAAGTGTGATGGATGCACAGAGAAATGGAAGGACAGAAGACAGACATGACAAACACAATATGTCCATGCCATAGTCATGGTGGGTGGGCATAAAAATGTTCACAGTAAACATGCTTATAACAAAGTACCAGGACAGAAGATTTTGCTTCCTTATATGCATAATTCATTATATTGGTTAACAGGTTAAGTTTACAATATTTTTTTTAAGTCATGGGGAATGAAAATTACTTCACCATAAGTATCAATTCATTACAAGTGTGTTTGCTATAAGCATGTTTTATTGTATCTAGCTATGGGGCTCATATAAAAATTTTCTTTGTTGCCTTTGGTGAAATGCAACCATTTTCTCCTATATGTTTGTAGATAAGGATGCAAATGGTAAACACAAAATATTTTCATTTTAGCCAGATTTTGAATTCACTTAGACACTAAAAAACAGGTTTCTGATTTCCTTACTTGGAATGGTATTTTTTCAATGTCCAATTTTTTCCCAGGATTTTTCAACTTAAATGAGAATGTCATATCAGTATCTTTTGTAGCACTGCCCACCTCCTTAATTATCTTGCTACTGCCCTGCAAAGAAAAAATATATACCTGGTACATTTTAGTATCTATGTATTATTACTAGGGATGGCAATTTCTAACCGGTTAACCGATTACTCGGTCGGAACGATGGCAATCGGTTAGATAAACTGTAATCGGTTAGTCGAAAAAATTTTTAATATGTGTAAAAATGAAGGCAATCTTCTTAAAATCCATTTTTAAAAAAGAAATTCCTTCTTAAACGTTGATAAGTTCGCGTTTTCATATATATATATTTATTTAGGCTGATTGGGGGGAAATTATGGCTCTCCAGATTAAAATTATGGGGTAATTGGTCAGTCCGAGATGTGTTAATTACTGTTCAAACATCGTTACCCCGACTGTCCTCTAATTCTTTAATGATACTAATCGCCGTTGGGCACCGTGAACTGGTGTGTGTATCTTTTGCAGTTATTTATCAAATTAAATTATTAAACAAACATTGTAAATTAAGAGATACAGTTTAATCTTAGTTTTGATTATGGTGACAATGAAGAATGAACTTGTGTGACATCCGCTCTGGAAAATTATCTACGATATCTCAGGCATGTTTCATAGTTTTCTGATTTTTTTTCTTGTCTACTGTAATAAAAAATATATGCTTGTACATGTAGTTTTCTGATCAAGAATGTTTTTGACCTCTAAGATGTTTTTTAATACTTCTTGTGCGTGGGAATAGAACTTCCTGAAAAAAGTCAAGAAAATGTATAGTTTGATACGATTAACCGGTTAATCGGTCAGAACGTTTTGCGGTTAACTGATTAGCAATTCTGTATTCGATTGCCATCCCTAATTATTACACTGAAAAATTTAGACAAGAGGCCAATGGACCACAATGCTCATCTGAGTCACTTTGGCCTGCTGTTTTTCATCTCCAGTATCTTCTAAATTTCCATCTTTAATTTAACAAAATTTCACTGTTGAGTACTGTGAACTGAGTGCAATGTGCATCTATCTTTTGCAGTTATCTGTCAAATTATATTTTTAAACAAACATTGTAAATTAAGTAATAGTTCAGACTCTGTTTCTTTTTTATGATGACAATGCAACCATGGCCTTGTGTAACATCAGGTCTGAAAAATTATCAATATCTTTGATATCTAAGGAATGTTTCATTGTTTTCTTGATTTTTTCTTGCCTTCAGAAATTGAAATAAAATATTATAATATAAAGAACACTTACCAAGCATAAACAGACTCTTACTAACATCTTTGTTAAGTTTTTTCTTAGGGTTTACGTGATAAAAAAAGGTCAGGAAAATGTGTATTTTGATACGATTAACTGGTCAGAATGTCTTGAATTAACCGATTTCCAATTCTGCATTCAATTGCCATTGTATTTAGACATCTATTTTATAAAAAGAAGTTTTACTGAATGTTAAATGTTCGGTGAAAAGAGTTTTTCAATTTTCTATTTCAAATACAGTTGAACTTCTGTATCTCGAACACCGATATCTTGAATACAATGGATATGTCAAAATGATTAAGAACTCCCAACCACTTATTTTATAGGTATTTTCCCCTTGATACATGTATCTCGAATCCTCAAATATCTCAAAGTTTTTTCTCAGTCCCATCGAGTTCAAGATAAGGAAGTTTGACTGTTTGTTAGGAATAATAACCTTAGGGAACCTAGGGTCATCAACTTCCAGCTCTGGATGGAGAAAAAGAGTGACCGTTACATATGTAGCGATGACATAATTTTGCGAGATGAGTCGAAGCTGCCGAGAAATTTCCAGGGGATTAAGCACATTTACAGTGCCTCCAGAAATATCTGCACATTTGCTAACTTTCTCCAACCCAGTTCTCTCCCCTTCCACAGCAAGAATGGAAATAGTTATGTTCTTCTTTTTGGCATATTGCCCAGCCTTCAAAAGAGAAATGTACATTGATTCAAATATGTCATACAGGAAACTTAATATTCTTTCTATCAACAGCAAATACATCTGTATATTTACTAATCAAGCAAAGACAAATTCATCAAAGCATCAACTCTGTGATTTATCTTACCTCCACATAGAAATTTGGATCCCTGTTCAAATTGCCTATGCCTCCATTTGGTGCCCCATCAGTACATAAAATAATCTCAGATCCCACAGAACCATTGACAATCCCCAAGGCAGCAGAAAGGGCAGGGCCGAGACTGGTACAACCCTTCGGTCTTAGCTTATTTACTTCAGTCACTATTTTCCTGAAAAGTGGACATAAATTTTAAGTAAATTTAAACAACTGATATAAAATGTATGTCCCTCTGTTATATAATCTTAACTTTCCATATAAATAAGTGTTAAAACATGAAGTTTCTGATTTTTTGATTTGCATGGGCATTGCCCTTAAAGTTACTGGTAATATGAAAGGGGTCTTGAGTTGCACAGTTTAATTATTTCAAATTTCTAAACATTACACATTCAGTAGATACTGATCAACTCAATAAAGTGATCATACATTTTAATATATCTTTATACCTATAGAAATGGATGTCCCTAGTTTTTTTTTTTTCTAAACTACATGTCCTCAGTACATGTATTAATATATACATTTAAAAAAACACAGATAATTACTGGTAGGATTCTGTTAAAGGCTTGATCTGATGTTCTGTGGAATACTTTTCTCCGTAGTTCAGTAATGGCTCAAACTCATTATGGATGGTGGAAGGCACAGTTTGTATTGTGTTGTCTGAACAATCTCCATAGACCTCCACCTTTGACTCAAATGTCAAGAAGATCACTCGCCGCTCTGGATTGTCCAGGTGCAGTCGCTCTAGCTGCCTGTATAAAATCATTATTATTGCTTTGATAAAAGAGGATATACTCATTTCTTTATCAAAAAATTATTGCTGAACCCTTTTTTCCATCATAAGTCTTTCTTCATTACCTTTTTCACAACAATTAAAGTAAAAGAGGAATAAAGAAACTACTAGATGCCTATTTACACTCTATCCATGCATTTGCTTATTTGCATCTGTGACACAAATATGTCACGTAAAGGTATCTATGTAATGTAAATTTGACATACTGTATAGGGGATTAATTTCACGGGTTGTAATTTTCATGTTGTTCTCTCCTCGGACACGATCGCGGTTTGTTGAATTCGCGGAATCGGTATATAATAAAAGTAACCTCCTTTGTCTTTATCCGTGTAATCCATAGTATAGCTAGAACGACATTCATCAGCGTTATGTATTCACTTCACGAACAAGGTAGGTTTATATAAAATTATTAGATTTAGTAGTTAATTGATGATTAATCAAAACAAGTGCTGTTATTAAAATTTTTTGACTATAAACATCAAATGACTTTCCTATATGCTTTTACGATGAGTGCACATCTTTCCGAAGGTATAACATATTGCAGCGGGGAAAAAAAACACTGGACGCTAATAAATATATTGATGTAGGTAGACATAATAATATCCTTTCATATCTTCAGCATATTCGATAGTTATCCGAATGATATTTTTTAAACCAAAATTTCCATAAAAACTAACACGCATAATGCTAAATTGCAGGTAACAAATACACGTACGTGGTAACGTTACGCACGGGTAATCAAAACCCATGTCCCATGTGTTTTGATTGATGAAACATGCATCTATTAAAACAGCTTTTAAACAATAAAAACAGGTCATTAGCTGCTTATTTGAATTAAAGTAAAGCGTGATAATTAAGATAATTGAATGACAACTACGCATACGTGTACTACTCGTAATTACTGAAATAAATGATCACGTATCGTACGTATATATACCTATCGTAGTCTATTCTCAAATTTCCAAATAAAACATTGAGGTTTAATATTTAAAATTTATTCACTGTTTCTTGAATTCACGGATTTATTAACACAGTGAATATAGCAAATATTTACACCGCAAGTTATTTTCCCCCTATACAGTACATATACTTATTATGCTGGACATTGTAATTGTGCCTGCATCTATTGTGTTGAAAAGGCCACCTACTCCATTACCTTAGGAGTGCCTCTTGTATGGCCTGAAGTCGAGTAACACTGTTACTGCCAGAAGCATTCTCCCCGTCTCTCTGTCTCTTCCATTCAGCTTTAAAACAAGGTAAAAAAAAAAGTGTAGCTTAAATTGAATGGAAACATACAACACTATAGTACTGTAAACCAACATTAATTTGCCCACTCAAAATCTAGCACTGTGACAGTCTTTCTCATGAACTGTGTAGCGTAACCATAAATTAGTGCATTTGGAGCCAAGCTTCTGTATACTGGTCCGTATTTATTTTAATCATATACGGTCAAACCTCGTTATCTTGAACTTGATGGGGCCAAGAAAAAAAACTTCCCAGAAATCCAAGGGTTCAAGATATTGAAGGTAAAATACTTCAAAGATATGGTTAGGATTACCCAGTCACTTTGACATATCCATGGTATTCTTTGATATCCATGTTCGATTCGAGATATTTGAGTTCAACTGTATTAGCATCTACTTAAGTTAGTTGAAAAGAAGAAACACAAAAGGCACTAAAATATGATAATATTTCATTATTATACCACTAAGTAAGTTTACAGCATGTCAAGATGCCTGAATTATTATTTAAATCATAATAAACAATATGATTTATTTTTCTAGTTTTGTCTTTAGGAGCTAAAAATCGCACATTAACATAAGCACAAATTGATACATGTACATCTACAAGGTAAGTGCTTTCCTAAATTTCTTAGGTTGGTTATACAGTTGAACTTCAGTATCTCAAACTCCAATATCTCCAATATCATGGATATGTCAAAGTGATTTGGTTCCAACTGCTAATTGTTTAGGTATTTTACCCTCGATATCTCAAATCCTCAGATATATCAAAGTTTTTCCTTGGCCCCGTCAAGTTCGAGATGACAAGGTTTGACTGTACTTGTCTGATTAACTAGAAATATGTCCATAGGAAATGAAAACCCCACCCAGGGTTCATCAGTAATGCAACAAAAAAAGAAAAGTATCCTGATCACTTTTTTGTTTCAGATAAGGGTACATTATGATCAATAGTAAGGTCAAGGTCATGGGAAGCTTAAGGTCAGAAAATTATGACAAAGTTGAAAAGCTCTCACTTACCGATATATGTATCAAAATATGAAATTTGATTAAAATATCTTGATTAGCTTCTTTTAAATTGAGCTAAACGCAAACTGTGAAGGGTGGATATATGGAGGGAAAGAAGGATGGAAGGTGGAAAAGACCAAAGGAGGAAGACAGACATGACAAACACTGTATGGCCCAGCCATATTCATGGCAGGCATAAAAAATATACATTTAGTTCAGTTTATGACTCCACTGATTTAAATATGGGCTTTTTCAAGACAACCATAATGTATGATATAAATTTTGATTTTAAAATTATTTCAAAATATTTTACATTACAGAGTCTTTGAATTGTAAGGAGAGCTAGTTTAACGATTGAAATTAAAGACCTTTCCCTCTTATTCCATTTAAAATCATCAAAATATTACCTGCCAGTGAAAAATAATATGATTGTTAAACATTTGAAGGTTACCTTGTAATTCGGGAAGCTGTGTGACTCCCCCCATAGATCCACTGATATCCAGACAGTACACCACGTATCCACTTCCTGTTGTTGCTGGTTTTGTAGCCTCTGTCTTGTCAGTTTCTTTTTCTGTAGCAGCTTGCTCTTCTGGTGCAGAAAGGGCATAATCTATGGTGTCTGATTTAGGAATTTCTTCTTTTCTGACCTCTGTGGAGACATTTTTATGTCCACAGAATTCACTGAAATGTTACAATGGTAAACCCAAAATGAAATAGCAATTCCCTCTCAGAGTAACAAAAGATGCACTGAAAACAGTTGTTCACAAATATTCATCTTAAAGAATAATTTCCAAATGTTTTACCCAAAATGAAATAGCAATTCCCTCTCAGAGTAACAAAAGATGCACTGAAAACAGTTGTTCACAAATATCCATCTTAAAGAATAATTTCCAAATGTTTTACCCAAAATGAAATAGCAATTCCCTCTCAGAGTAACAAAAAATGCACTAAAAACAGTTGTTCACAAATATTCATCTTAAAGAATAATTTCCAAATGTTTCATCTTATAAAATGAGGTTTCTATGTGGATTTTTTGGGGATTATTTCTGAATCTTTCTAATATTGTTTATGTGTTTGTGTATGTTAATTACATCAAATTGAGAATTTCAATGTAAAATGAAGCAGACATTTACAATTCATATTTCTTAATTTCTCATCGTACAATTTAAGAGATTGCAGATTTGAACAAAAGTTCCAAATCATTCATATTTTAGAATTCAGTGACTTTAGTATTACCAATTCCACAACAGTTTGTCTCCATCTTGTTGTGTCTCAGAGATACAAGACAACACAACCTGACATCCATCGCAATACACCGGGTCACCCGTAGCAACATTGTCCATCTGATCAAGATCCTTCATGGACACCAGGATGACATTAGTGTCTGCTTTCTGACATTTTATGGTTTTCTTGGACTTGGTAGGTGATCGTATGGGTGGGGCTGACTTCCGTCGACTTGGGGGCCCTCTCCTTGTGTCACCTCTCCTCTGCTGTACGGGTAAGTCTTCTGCTGTGGCTGACCTTGGTCGGGACAATCTACGGGAAAAGATTCCACTAATGGAGGAGATGAAACTTCGTACCCTGGACACTTGTTTTCTGGGTCTTCCTTGTTCTTCTAAAGTCAACATTTTAAAATTAAAGTCTACAGTGCAAAGTTTTTCTTGGGGGGGGTGGGGTGTTTTGGTTTTTTTGGTTTTTTTGTTGTTGTTGAGAAAATAGGAAAATCAGCACAAAGTGTTACTTTACCTCATAAATATTTCATTTATTCATGCTGCTGTGTACTTGGTAATTACATGTATTTTCAAGTGAAAAGAAAAAAAAAACTTTTGCAATTATTCATGCAGAGAGAAATGAAAGAGAAATTACAATGGCATCTTAAACTAATTTAATTCATCAGATTGAAAATACATGTAAATGGGAGAATTATCAAACGCTTATATCTTTAACTTAATTATACACCTGTGTGTATTATTTATATTTCATAAATGAAATACCTTCCTCAGCTTTTCTTCGTTTTCCCTTCACTTTGACCATTTTACGATAAGAGTCTTCTATGGTTGGATCATAGTCCTCAACAAATTGGTCTGCTACAAATCTAAGTGTCAGTGAAGATTTTCCTACAGCACCAGCCCCGAGCATGACAATCTGTGATAGACAATAAAAGTCATCTCTAATTTAGAGAGTGAAATAGCATACTTTTGAATTTGCCTGACAATATGCATTATTGTAAACCTTCTGAGATGTGAGAAAAAAGTTCTCTTACGTGGCTTTAAAATCTCATAATTAGGAAAACTGCATTGTGATTTTCAAAAATATTTTTCTTTTTATCTAGTATTTAAATCATTTTAGTTTACAAATATCATAACAGTGATTTTCTTTTAAGTAAATCAAATTGTCTTATTTAGCCAATCTGCTTAATATGCACAAGTTAAATATATATCTTCATTTACTTTGTGTGTAGCTTTGTGTTCCGGAATTTCTAAAACCAGATTCTCAAATGCCTCCTGGACAAGGCTTCCTGTTTTTGCAGATGTTTCTGTAAAAGGAATACCCAAAGTATCTGCCAATTTCTTCCCCTCTTCAAATGATACCTCCCTCTGATGTTCAAGGTCACTTTTATTCCCACAAAGAATCTGTAAAATTAAATCTTAAGCTTAGCATAATTTTCCTTTTTATTTTTTTTTTTATACATACATGTATATATAATCATAACCATGAACAAAACCTCTCTTAAGATTCTATAAATACTTTTACTGGGCATAAAACACCACATCACATACTGATCAGTTTGCCCTTAACAATCACATTTACTTTATGCTTAATTAAAATTTGAAAAAAGAAGGTTTTTAAATAGGGATGTCAAATTGGTCATCTTTTGATCATCAGTTATTCGGACTATTTTCTGATCGAGAACCATGATTAAATGATGTTCATTAAAAAAAAAAACTCCAAAAATAAAGGGCCACTATAAGTGAGAAAAGCTGTGTTCTAGTATATACACAGCCAAGGCCATGCAATAACATATAATTACTGGTGTAGGTAATGCTAATTACTGTATAGACATGGACATAAATTATTGACATTTTCTTAATAAGTTTTTGATAAATATATTTATACTTTGAAATATGAAAAATAAATGAGTACCAATTTTAGTATTCAATACTCAATTGCTATCTAATAGACCTATGAACTCTTTGTCTGCCATTTTTCAACCTACCGCAGGTGAATTTTCCATGCCTTTAATTTTCTGAACAAGACGATAAATGGCTGAAGCTTCATTGAAGGATGATCTGCTTGTAATGCTGTAGATAATCATAAAGCCGTCCCCTGATGTCATGTACATCTCTCTTGTAGAGGAGTACTCTTCTTGGCCTGCTGTGTCCAGAATATCCAAGCAACATGTCTGGAATCAAAGAATAAAAACCATGAGAACCATGTGTCCATGATCTCCAAGCAATATATGTTAATCAAAGCATAGAAAGCATGAAATACATGAGTCTATGCATGATCTCCAAGCAATATGTGTTAATCAAAGCATAAAAAGCATGAAATACATGAGTCTATGCATGATCTCCAAGCAATATGTGTTAATCAAAGCATAAAAAGCATGAAATACATGAGTCTATGCATGATCTCCAAGCAATATGTGTTAATCAAAGGATAGAAAGCATGAAATACATGAGTCTATGCATGATCTCCAAGCAATATGTGTTAATCAAAGGATAGAAAGCATGAAATACATGAGTCTATGCATGATCTCCAAGCAATATGTGTTAATAAAAAAGCATAGAAAGCATGCAATACATGAGTCTATGCATGATCTCCATGCAATATGTGTTAATCAAAGGACAGAAAGCATGAAATACATGAGTCTATGCATGATCTCCAAGCAATATATGTTAATCAAAGGACAGAAAGCATGAAATACATGAGTCTATGCATGATCTCCAAGCAATATATGTTAATCAAAGGACAGAAAGCATGAAATACATGAGTCTATGCATGATCTCCAAGCAATATGTGTTAATCAAAGCATAGAAAACATGAAATTCATGAGTCTATGCATGATCTCCAAGCAATATGTTATTTTAATCAAAGCATAGATAGCATGAGACCCAGCTTAAAAAATGCTCCTTCACACCATGCTCACTAGCCCATTCCTCCTCCCCCCGAGATTTGTTTGAAGTTAAAAGTCATGAATACCAGAGTAAATTGATTCTGCGGTCTTTTTCTTCATTTTTTAATACTTTATTTACTGTAATAAACAATCTGTTACAACATTAAACAAATTTTAACATTTTTACAGACTGTGAATTTTGAGAGAGTTGGCATAATTTGTTTTCACATCTTTCATTTACATGAATAAAGATTGATTTTCTTCTTATTACAGATTTTAGCATAATAATAATTCCTCAGAGACCCACAGGTGATTATACCCTTCATTCCTCCCTAAATTAAGGTGAGAAGAATGAAGTTGAACTGTTTAGAGATCATGGGACCCAGGTTTGAATCCTGATCTGATTCTGTGGCTTAAGGCTGTATGCCTTCAAACCTGGGCCCCACGATCTTACCAACAATACTATCCGGCCACTGGTGATTGCATGAAGCTGCCTGTCCCCCTATTTTCCTCAAATGTATTTATACCCCTGCAATTAAGACACCAACCAAACCCTTGAGTTTCATCCCTAGCAGGTTTTGTACCTGTCACATCCATGAAATTACACATTAATATTAAATGTAACAGGGAGAAAATATATAGGACAGAATTGACCAGAATTCCAGCCTAGGCCTGCTGAACTCTAGACTTCTGAGATTTCTGACTGTAAGTGATCAAATTTGCCTAATTTTATCTACATTATTTCTTAATATTTTGTTAGTATATGATTTAGAAAATAAAGCAGTGTGGCATAACATGTTTTAACTCCGGGCTTTTAATAGTTGGGTGTACATAAATTTACACCAAGCAAAATTTGTCTTACTTAAGCTACATAGGGAATAACAAATAGTATTTAAACTCTTCAGTAAAGGTATTTATAAACTCTTGACTTTTTTTCTCTCAATAAGCTATATGCTTACATTTCAAAAGCTGTGAGCTGAAATGTGATCTCACTTGACTGAATTTTACCCGCAAAAGGTAAGCTATATGTATGCAATCTCTGTACAATAAAAACCATAAATACCAGGCAATAAAAAAATTAAAATTCCGACGGATTTATGTATACTTCAAACTTCAAATAATCAATATGTTAGATTTCAATCTAAAAATGAAAACCATAGGAAATTAAATGATAGTCTTAACCTATTGCAAACCATTAGAGAAATAAGTACATGCATATAAAATTGTTTTTCACATGTTTTCTATTGCAAACTGTACAGTAGCAAATCATGCATTTTTAGTATATGGAAAGTCATGAATAATCAAACCTAACTGCTTCAGTCTCTGTACGTAAAGCAATTAAAGTGTAATGATAGAGAACAATTAAACCTTTAATGGATGTTTGACCTTATACCATGTCTGTACATAAATATAAAGCTCTGTTAAACCATGCATATACAGCCAAACCTCATTATCTCGAACTCAATGGAACCGCAAAAAAACTTTGAGATATCCGAGGATTCGAGATATCCGGGGTAAAATACTTAATAAGGGGTTGGGACATATTCATGGTATTTGATATATCGAAGTTCAACTGTATATTGAATTAATCATGCCATGAGTGTACAAACCTCTTCATCTCCATTTTGAGGATCAGCTTCTTCTTCCTTCTCCTCAAGATCATCTTCCTCAGGTATGTCCTCTTCCTCGTCTGTCCGACCAACGTACACAAGGTTTCCTCCAAACTCCATTACACTTAACACAATTTATTTTCTATAAGGAAATATTTACATTTTAATTTCTTTGTCCGAGATAAAACTACAAATAGTAAAAAATACTATATTTCTACATAAACTAAAAGCTACTGGTTCATCAATAGGCATGGTTAAAAAAACTGCGTGCAGTGTGGGACAGAGAGAGACAGAAGTATGGAAAGCGGGGATTGTACATAGCATGTGAATTTACGAAATCAAGAGCATGTAAATATAAGGAATAACTGTCTTTTTTTTGGTTTCAAGAGATCATGATCATGCGATTGGCTTGCATGATAATTTTACACATAAACACCTTCGGTGTTTATGCAAATTATCATGCAAGCGCTAGCCCATTGTTTGATCACATCATGAAACCAAAAAATTAGACAATTATTCCTTCAATAAATTCAAACTGAAGAAAAGTCGGTTAATATTAACTGCTCTTAAATGGGCCAGGGGGAATATTTAATTACATTATAACTGAATAATAAAAACAATTGGTATTCAATGGACATCAAAATCCATTAAGATCCTAAAACATTAATGAGGGAGTTGTTATAAATCCCAGTTCCCTTTTACCATGCATGACTACATTTCTCTAGACTTAATGCCTTGGGAAACAAGTCCTGGCCTTGTGGAAGTGGAATAGATCTCAAATTGCTTAAAACTCACACAAAAATATACTTTAAATGTACTATAATATATACCTACAATTTATTTATCACAACTTGTAATAGTATTGGTTTAGCTCAATGATCTATGTCTGACTTCCTGTTTTACTTCTGGATAAGGAAAAGGATAATACAAATGATATGAATAGTACCTTAATTACAATGTACACATACTTCATTTGAATATTTTTATAACATTTTGCATGGATGGTTCGTGGTTTTAATGATACCATGTAATGCATATGGTGTTGCTTTTAAACTACGTGTAACGTGTTTAACGAATTTGCACAACAAAAATAAACATTGCTCATTTCCCTATTGATTGGTTATAGCCCACCACAGTAGACACCAAGATAAATGACATAGCTAACAGGATATTATACTGAAGGGTGTTAAATTGTTATCTGTACGCCTCGTGTATATTTACAACAACTTTATAGATTTATTACTAAAAAAAATAAATATAAGAAGAAACTTAAGATAAACACATGTCTCACCTGTCTTGCAGTCGTCAACAACGCTGAAAAATATTTCGGTTTTTCCCATCGATATCGCCTATAAATATATATTACAAGGAATATTTGATTGGTTAATATAAATAACCTAACTAAAAATAGAAAACGTTGAGTTGCTGACGGCGCGGATATAAGTTTTTTTCCGAGCAATTACAAACATACAAACGATTTTCTTAATCGTACATACCGAATTTCTAAATCGTTCAAACGAATTTCTAAATAGTTTGTACGATTTAAAAAAAAATCCTTAACATCTTACCAAACATCCTCACAATGTCAAGGTTTTGTGATTTCGGAACTCCACGTTTGTGTGGAGTTCCGAAATCACAAAACCTTGACATGTGAGGATGCTTACCAAATTAAATTTTGATTTGGGAGAATTCTCCTCTTTTTTTTCAGGGGGTAGGATGGGAAGGGCTAGTCAAAGATTTTTTGTATGTGAGTTGTTCAAAATCAATCATATAATACATGTCTGACATGTATTTTTTTTTTCTACATTGCACCTAAAAAAGAATTTAAAATTCCAAATTAATGCAACTGGTTATGTTATATTTAACCCCGTTTCTCTCATGTTTGGCTAGTACTTCAGTAAATGTAAACAAGATGGCATGGATTGCTTAAAGAGTTTTTGTCATTTGTATAATAAAACAATTATTGCTGTTTTTTTTCGGTCAATACGATGATTTAGCCATCTTCGAATTAGTACAATATATATTCACTTCGCCATTCGGGTTCGGTGAATATTGTACTCCTGGGGTGCTAAATCATCGTATTGACCTCAGAACTAGAAATAATTGTTTAATATTCCCATCAACCAAGTTGAATTTAAATGGTGTGTATTAGAGAACGACTTTTATGTCAATCTGACAACTAGACTTAATGATAAACGTGATAACTTCAACTTGTCTCTCGTCAACCTCTCTAATTTATGTAGAAATATACCGGTATATGTATCATTATTACCTGCATATTGAGTTTATATCTCTCAGTTGATTCGATCCGCAAGATCGTTTTACAAGCAAACAATTTCTAAAATGAGGCAGGCTGTTGACAAATAAATTGATGATACAGGGATATCAACAATCTCGTTTAAAGCAACATTTCGAAAGTTCTATGGTCGATACAATGTCCTTGTCAGCAAATACAATCTACTAGTATCATAAAGTCGAATGCTGATTGGCATTTTTCATTCAAATTGTCAGGCCTTTATTTTCACAATTCATTTTCATTTACCCGATCACGACACGGAGGACACGGCTGATTTGAATGATTGTCATAGAATGCTTACTCCTCCATGGCACATTATCCTATCTAGCTCTGTTTTCAGTTGTTTTATTTCATTTTAGTTTTAGTTAAGCCACGAATTCCTAAACATCACTGCGCATCTACAGGACACCTCTTATCAGATTCGGCTTCTAATTTCGCTAGTAAAAGGAACATGAATGCTTTTTGTGCTAAAACAAAATGTTTTTCGATCCCTATTTGCTCTTCGGAGTGAAAATGGAGATCATGAAACTTTATTACACATCTACAAGACACCATCAGTCAATAAATCATATTCCAAAAGACGATTGGTTATTGCTTAAAATGTCAGAGGAGTTCGAGGAAGAAAAATTTGCTGTAAATGAAAAATTCTGAAACTTTGTTGCACATCCATCGGACACCAACTACTACATTCCAGAAGATGAATTTAATATTGCGCATATTGTAAGAGGACTTGAGGAATGAGAATTTGTAGAAAACAATGTCGTTTTCGACCACCCCCTTCCCCCTCTTCCTACACACACAGTTAACCTCTCAAGGGTGAAAATGAAAATTTAAAACCTTATTACACATCTAAAGGACACCGCCAAACATGAAGATGAATTGGATACTACATAGTACTACTCTTAAAAATGTAAGAGGAGTTTGATGCAGAAGATAGTGTGACAGATGGACGGATGAATGGACCGAAATAACAACACATAATTTGTATATAATATTATACATGTACATTTACCTGCCCCTCCCCCCCCCCCCCCCCCAAGTCACAAAATTCTGTAAATTCCGGAGGAGGTTACTCTATTCCTTTCTTCGTTACATGTTTTTATACCAATTTACACCATGCTCCCCCCCTCTCTCTCTCTGTGTCCATAATGTGTGTAATTATTTTGCCATTGTGCACACAGGTGCTTGAGGACAGGACCCCCCCCCCCCGATATAGACCCCCGGGCATTTTCGACTTTTTTTTCTCATAAATTATCTTTCAATGACATATTTGTGATATAATCTATACCAACAATTGGAAAAATTACCTAAAACAAACATTTTATAAAATCTACCCCACTCTCTATATATAGGGTAGGAAAGTAATTTTTTATAAAATGTTTGTTTAAGTCAATTTTCCGAATTGACGATATAGAGATTATATCACAGATGTGTCAGCCATATATGATTTATGAGAAAAAAGTCGAACAAGCCCGGGGGTCTGTATCGGGGGGGGGGGGGGTCCTGTCCTCAAGCACCTGTGATTGTGCATTATAATCAGGGACAGAGTAGGTTTTACATTAGTTTGAGGGTGTGTTAAAATAAATGGATATTTTTACCAAAAAAAACAAAAAAACAACTTCTTGCATTTTAAGCACCATTTGTGAAATGAAACCCACCCTATTAAATAATTTAAAAGATTTGCATCGTCATATTTTATCTCGCTTCAATTATGATTAACTTGCAAAAATTGCTTCTGTAGTATATAGTTAGAAAAATTATCACTGATGATTCAACTTTGGCAATGGAATTTTGTTTTTATACCGAAGTATAAATGAATTGGCCATTCAACTGCTCAGCTGCTCAGGCCAAAAGGAGTCTGGTCGGGGGGTGGGGGTCATTTCACAAGTATATACTTTAGTTACTTTACAATAGATCCGCCTCTGGGAGTTGACTGATCAAGATATATTTAATTTCATGCTTGATTTCATCTTTTGATCTAAGGCCCATGCGTGATAGTTACAACTTCCGGTAGATCGTGAATAGTGTTCTGTGTCACACCTTTGATCCCATGGTCGGATGCATTCCATTTCCCGCCATATCACTGATTCTCGAAAAAACCGAGTTACTCATGAAAGGTAGCGTTTCTTTTGGTATATTTACAAAAAATTATTTGTATTTAACGCTTGTAATTACTAACCAACGTTGAAATGGGCTTAACGGTAACATTCAGCGAACAGTCAGACGAGACTTAGGGCCAAGGTAAATCATTTTTATGTTTAAAAAATGAAAGTGAAATATGATTGTACTTGTTCTTTTATTTACACTGTTGATTTAACCAATGCTGCCTTTTGGCACACGTCACTTGAGAAGCAGCATCTGAAAGTTGTTTGAATGTTTTGCAAAAAAACTGTTCAATATTAATACAAGCTTCACCAACCTATTTATTATCATCTTCATCCCCCCCCCCTTTTTTTTTTACAATTTTAAGCCATGCCGATGTCAGATGTGATATTTTTTTATTAGGATGTCTGGTTTTGTTTAGAATTTGATAGATTGTTTGAAAATTTTTATAGAATGTTGACATTGATATATGTCACTTGGAAATTAAAGCAACAATAAATTCCTGGAAACTTCTCATATAGGCTTATTAACTGGTCACATCCAGGCAAAAAAAATTTTCAAATGTTTTTAGCTCACCTGAGCTGAAAGCTCAAGTGAGCTTTTCTGATCACATTTTGTCCGGCGTCCGTCTGTCTGTCCGTCTGTCTGTCTGTAAACTTTTCACATTTTCAACTTCTTCTCAAGAACCACTGGGCCAAATTCAACCAAACTTGCCACAAAGCATCCTT